TTAGATCACCTTGTAGAGCAGTGAATTACCTCATATGCTCTGTGTCATTCAGGGAAGATTTACAGGCACTTATGGAAGATAGTTTATGCTTTCAATTTAATATGCAAAAAAAAAAAAAAAATCAGTATCAAATTGTATCCAAGATACTATTTTGTCTTGTTTTAAAACATGCAATATCTCGGTCAACAAATTTTACAAAATTACAAATACAAGTAAATTAAGTGTAAGGCATAATAAAGTTAATTTTTATAAGTGTTATTTGCATATAAAAAAAAGTTTGTTGAAACTTCATTTCTATTTCCTAACAGAAGAGTTTATTCAAGGACCAAATGGAGCTACTGCTGCAGAATCATGTATTTCCATTATTGTTGTCTAACTTGGGATATCTTCGAGCTAGAGTAAGTTTTGTATATTCCATTATGCATTGTAGAATCTTTATCTGTTAAGGTAGTTATTGAAGTTACCATTCTTAGATAAATTGACCTGGCACCACATACTAACATGAAATGATGTAAAAATTAGAGTGTCCGTTATGATATCAGTTGCCTAAAGAACAAACTGATAAATTAGATCTATGGATTTTAATCCCAGTTGTTTCCATTTGTCACCCTCGCCTCATTTGCTGTACGTGCAAAACTTGCATAGTGAGAGGGATTGCTCTCTCTTTCCCCCCCCCCCCCAAGAATTTAGCATAAGATATAGAATGTAGGTCACATTTAATAGTTTATGAACATAACTGTCATAAATAAAAATAATAAAGAAAAGTACAATGATGGTAGCTATTATTAGTGGTAGAAAATCTTATAAAAACTGTAAGTGTGGTTTGCTGAGGTGTTGACCTGCAGCTCTATGTAATCTGAAGAATCTCCATTGATTTCATTTATAATCAATCTCTACCATCAAATTATCATTCCTATTCATGCCCCCACATGGGAAATGGTGGGTGAGTATCTGTAGGAATACAATTTATTGTCTGTTCCTCCAGTCAGAAGTACCCCTGTATCTGTCCAGGCTGCACCCAGAACTTGTCTTCATGAGCAGCTAGGTGGTAGAGAGGAGCTTAGAGGATTCCCACACACCCACTACTACCATTGGGTTGGTTCTGACTCATAGTGACCTGTACTGGTTTCTGAGTCTGTAAATCTTCATGGGAGGAGAAAGCTTCATCTTTCTCCTGCAGAGCAGTTGGTGGGTTTGAACTGCTGTCCTTGTAGCTAGCAGTCCAGTGCTTCTACTGTAGCACTACCAGGGCCCCTGTTATAGCAGTGTTACTGTTGTTGTTAAGTGCCTCTAAGTCAGTTCTGACTCACAGAAACCTAGTATAGGGTTTCCAAGTAACGGCTGGTGAATTTGAACCACCAACTTTGTGGTTCAAATGGGCCTTGCGGTCCAGTGCTTTAGCCCACAGCACCACACCAAGACTCTGTCATGGCAGTTGTTGTTGTTATTAATTGCCATCGAGTGGATTCCGACCCATAACGACCCTGTATAGGGTTTCCAAGGAGCACCTGGTAAGCTTGAACCACCAACCTTGCAGTTCAAACCGACTTTGCAGTCCTGCGCATTAACCCATAGCGCCCCACCAAGACTCCATAGCAATAGTGTAATGTAAATTTTAAATTGAATCATTTTTATTATTTAAAACAGCATGAAATTCTGGTTTGGCTAAAAACTTTATATTGATTTTGAATATATTAAGTAGATGTTACTTTATTAAAAAGGAAAAAATAATCTGTGTAAACATATTCACATTCTAACTGTACAGTTTAGAATCATTATATTTTATGGAGAAATAACTTTACTTCAAGAACTCTTTGTAAGTACATAAACACAAAAATGTCATGCCTAAAACAATGCAGGTTAACAATGCCATCTGTACTATAAAATGTTTTATATATATAAGATAGTATAGTTATTATGGAACTATTTTGACAAATGCAGATTGGGGACACAGAGCACATGAACATTTTTATCATTATAGCCTACCTTTGAGGGGCTGTATAAATTGTGATTATCTTGCTAAAGGGTTTACTGTTGATTATATTTTGTGCCTATAGGGAATAAATAAAGGAAAACTATGATTTCATGGTCCAGTAGTTTAAAATTTGGTAAGCTATCCCGCCCACTGCTGTCAAGTTGATTCCAATTCATAGAGACCTTACATGACAAAGTAGACTTGCTCCATAGGGTTTCCAAGATCCTAAAGCTGTACAGAAGCTGACTGCCACACCTTTTGTCCAAGGAGCGATTTGGTGGGTTCAATCTGCTGACCTTTGGGTTAGCAGTGGAGTGCTTAAATACTGTGCCCAAAGATTTTTTGTATGTATGTATGTTAAATGTCATTAAGTCAGTTCTGATTCATAGCTACCCTGTATAGGGTAGAGTTTCCTAGGAGCAGCTGGTGAGTTTGACCTTATGATTCAAGCTGACCTCGTGGTCCAGTGCTTATCCTTTGAAAAAAAAGTCTGCTTAACTAGTTAATGTAATGGAAAATAATATTTCACCCATGTGTAAAGGCCAGAAAATTAATTTAAAACACTAGTTTTGTAGTAGCTTTTATATACAAATAATAAATGAGTTGTGAATTACATTATTTATTGAAAACATAAACAAGATTTTTTTGAGAGGTGCTTAAATTTGGCTTTTTCCTAGGGAAAATGTTATGGCATGTAGGTTAGTTTAGAAGTAATGCAACTGCCCTTCTTATGTATAAGAATAGACTAGCCAAAAGTCAGAAACTAAAGCTAATATGCCATTCTCCGAAAAGAAAATTAGTACCTGCTAGAATTTGTGGTAGTTTAGTGAGTATGAAAGCTCTTATATGTGACATTATTACAAAATGCTTTCATCTTAATGCTTCCTTACTTCTTTTAACACAGTCCTGTTGGGTACTTCATGCGTTCAGTTCTTTGAAGTTTCATAATGAGCTCAATTTAAGAAATGCAGTTGAGTTAGCAAAGAAGAGCCTGATTGAAGATAAAGAAATGCCTGTCAAAGTAGAAGCGGCCCTTGCTCTGCAGTCCCTCATTTCTAACCAGACACAAGGTAAAGCTAAACTTATCTTTTTGAAGTGGGCTTACTTATTTCCCCTCTCTTTTTTGACATTGTCTTCTCAAGTGAGTTCTTTCTTTTCTGTCCTAGGAAAATGATTCTCTAGAGTTAAGGTTTAGGGTTTGGATTTCTCAACTTCTGTCTCCTCAGAATTTTGTAGTTTTCTTTATCCTTTTCATGAGTTGCTATGGGTTAGGCTGTGATCTCTAGAGTGATTTTAGATTAGGAGATGATTTAATATTGTTGGCATTAGGATAGACTAGAGACCCTGGGGCCTAGTTTAATTTTGTCACAGTAAGACTTGCCATGCAAGACACATGGTGTATCAAGGCTTAAGTTTCCACATCTTTAAATTTAGGGGAGTTGGACTAGATGGCTTCAAGATTCCTTTCAACTCTAGGAGTCTATGATTATGCAAGTTCTGAAGGTAGCAAGTAGTGTTTCTCATGAGATAGCTCATCTGTTTTCTCTAGAAGAATGCTGTGTTTGAAGGTCAAATAAACCAGTGAAAAATTCAGCATTATTTAGAACATGAACCTAGTTTACTACAATTCACTACCTTTATGTCGTTGGAAGGGGTGACTCTTGCATAAGAATATGCCTGCAGTGGAATGGGTAGAGAATGAGCCTCATCAGGATTGAGCATAGTCTTTTTCTTTGTAATAATAATTTATTGTGGTGTGGCACTGCCAGATGAGCACTGGACTACTGATACCACAGTGGCACTTAACGAAAACATCACCAAGGTTCAAGTTTACAAAGGAAATTAGGTTTCCATTTAATAAGTTTTACACAAATTATTCACTGATATTGGCTACATTTTTCTCAATGTGTTATCATTCTCATTCATTCCATTCTGCTTGTACTGTTTCCAGTACTCTAGTTTCCCTGCCCATGTCATCTTTGCTATAAAGTAATTTTTGACCATATGGTCTCATATAGATGATTTTTAAAGGAGCTTGTTACTCATGGATAACATTCTTTCTTTTGTAAGTCAATCCAGAGTCCTGTTGTGCTGTAGGATAAGCGCTGGACCGCAAGGTCTTTTGAACTGCATGGCTGGTAGTTCAAACCTACCAGCTGCTCTTTGGAAACCCTATACATGGTCACATGAGTCGGAATCGACTTGATGGCACTTACCAATATCTGTTATTTAGCTAAAAGGTGACCTCAAGGGATAATTTTGATTTAAGGTTTAAAGAGTATGAGGGAGCTTCAGAAAGTTTGTGGAAAGAGCCCCATTATCTTTTACTCCATTTTCTCAGAAGCTTTTTGAAGTCTACTCATATCCCAGGGCAATAGTCTCTGGAAGTTCTCTAACCTCAATTGGTCTGTAAGTCTGGACTTGTTAAGAGTTTGAGTTCTGTTTGACATTTTTATCCATCTATCAGGATCCATCTATCGTGACCCTGATCAGAATAGTCTGTGCATAGTCTTTATGAGTATGATATTTTATACTGTGTCCTGATGTCATTCATGTTGTTCAAATCATGCAGATGAGAGAGCATTTTATAATTAGAATTTCTTAGTAGGGTAGTGGTATTTTGGGCAGGACAGTTGTCTTCTGGGTAGGACTGCTTAACCCTTTGTTGTTGTTAAGTGCCGTCGAGTTGGTTCCGACCCACAGTGACCCTGTATAGGGTTTCTGAGCAGCAGCTGGTAAGCTGGAACCAACGACCTTGCAGTTCAAAGCGACTTTGCAGTCCAGCTCCTTAACCGGCAACACCGTGTGGAAATTAGTACACTGTTGAACATCATTTTGCTACAGCTTTCTAATGTACTCACTACAGAGCAAGTGTGTATCTAGGTGTTTGTCTTGTGTCACGTTACCTCATGACCAGATTCTTTCATTACTTCTGAGTAGCTTCAGCTCTCCTGATTTTGTTTTACTGCTTTAGCTAAGGAATACATGAAGCCGCACGTCAGGCCTGTTATGCAGGAGCTGTTGCACATTGTTAAAGAGACCGAAAATGATGATGTTACTAATGTTATCCAGAAGATGATATGTGAGTACAGTCAAGAGGTGGCCTCCATTGCTGTGGATATGACACAACACTTGGTAAGAAGGGGCAAAGTTGTATGTTGGTTTGGCGTAAAAGCCTCGTGTAATCTAAAATAAGTTAGATTCTAAAATTTAGCGTTCAGTGTTTTGTCACTGAAATGTTATGAAAGTCAATACATGACTGAATTTTATGCATATTTAAGTGTCTAATAATTTCGACATTCTGTAGTTAGAGTTTTTTCTTACGATTGTGAAATAATACTCTTCCAATAAGTAAGCTCAGTTGGAATGGTATCTTGAATACTCATTATAGTGACTTTTTTTTTTTTTTTTCTTGCTTCTGAGAGGAATAGATTTCTGATGTTTTCCTTCCTTGACTGTGGGGCTAAGGTCATTTATGAACTCTAGAGCCATCATAAAGATACTAGTTACTTTGTAAACATTTTATAAACCTTAGAGGTTTTATAAATTAATTTTAAAAGAGTCTAGTATCACTGTTAAAATTGAAATATCTTTAAAAGCATTATCTTCTGATAAAACCAAACTTGATGCTGTCGAGGCAATTCTGACTTTTGGCTACCACGTATGTAACAGAGTAAATTGCTCCTTAGGGTTTTGATTTGCTGTAATCTTTGCCAAAGCAGATCATCAGTCCTTACTTCTGCAGCACTACTGGGTGGATTCAAACTGCCAACTCATATGTTAGTCATCAAAAGCAACCTATCTGTACTGCCCAGACACCTCACCTGTTGCTATTGAGTCAATTTTAACTCATACAACTTTATGCTAATTGTTTAGGATTGCTTATCAAAAAACAATATGGATAAGTAAAATCTTACTTCAGTTTCTCTCTGCTTTTCTTTCAACATTTATTTTAATTTTTTTTTTTGTCAAAGTAGCAGGTAAATTTTAAAAGTTTTGTCATAAAAAAAATTCTTCTGTTCCTTCCCTCTTCATTCTAAAGTTAGGCTTTCTAAAGCGTAACTATCCTCAACTTTCCTCGTGTTTAACCCTGAATTTACCTATACCTTGCCCTTTTTTAAAAATAAAACAAAACCAAAAACCATGTTACTGTGTTTTTAATGACAGTTTACACACAAAGTTAGTTTCCCATTCAAAAATTGAAGCATGAATTGCTTTGTGACCTTGGTTGGGGTCCCTGCAATGTCTCTCCGTCTCCATCCCTACAGTTTCCCTGCCTCTGCTTGCCTTCTCATCTTGCTTTTGGGCTAATGTTGCCCATTTGGACTCATGTACTTGATTGTTTTAAGGTGCACATTCCTCATGAGTGTTTCATATTCTATTTGATAGGTCAGTCTATTAGGTTGAAAGCTACTTCCTGGGGTGTCTTTCAGTTCCAGGTTAAAAGGATGCCTTTTTTTGTTATTGTTGTTTCTGAAAACAAGTTTTACTTAAATAATAGTTTAAATACATTACATAATATTTAAAACTGAAAATAGGGGGCAGTCGAAATAGTTGTTACTTCACATGGAATTGGGCAGCTGTTGGTAGTAAGTTGCATGCTCTCCAAACAGTTTGATTTTGTTCCTCTGTCAAAAGTTTAACTCTGAAAGGTTGGCCTCACATCCTGGTTTTTTGGACATCCTTCGGTGGGATATGTCTGGTCAATAAGAACAGTGACCTTGGTGACAAATAAGATATCCCATCACCTCACTAGAGGAAGATGGCGTCTCCTAAGCTCTGCCCCTTGTCAGGTTGCACACCAGAGGGTTTTCTTTGCTACCAAAGGTTCCTTCTAGTGTTAACAGCCACTTTATGCCATCAAAAGGATGCCTTAGATGATAGTCTAGGGGGTTGGTTACTCCAGTCTCATCAGTCCAATAATATGTCTGGTTCATTTTTATGATTTTAAGTTTTGTTCTACATTTTTCTCCCATTCTAACTGGGACTTTGTATTATTTAGAGCACCATTTGTTTTTTCTCATCCCAGAGCATCATTTGGTTCTTCTCATCCCAGACTAGAGGAGGCTGTGGTTTATGTGGACCATTAGTCCTTCCTTACTAATTGCCTCCTTGAGTCTTTGGTTTTCTTCATTCTCCTTTATTTTGGATGGGAAGAGATCATTAGTTATATCTTAGATGCGCTGCCTGCCTGCTTTTAAGACCCAGAAGCTAGTCACCAAACTAGGATATTGTTGTTGTTATTAAGTGCTGTCAAGTTGATTTCAACCCATAGAGTTTCTGAGGAGCAGCTGGTGAGTGTAAATCACTGGCCTTGTGGTTCAGACCAACTTTGCAGTCCAGTGCATTAACCCACAGTGCCCACCAGAACTCCAACTAGGATATAGACATATCTTTATAAACTCTGGTGTGTGCCAGTTGACCAAGCTGCCCCTTATCTATGTCATTTCAAGTTGATGTAAGTTCTAGCATTTAAAAATTGTATTTCTGATTTTTTTATTAATTGGTTGCTCTTGGTGGTAGGTGAGGACTTACTTCTTCCATACTGTGCACTTTTTTTTCTACTCCTTTTCCTTAATTTGGTTTCATTTTTGATTAAACTATTAGCTACAACAACAACAACATTAGCTAATGTTTAGTATTTTGACAATGTAAATATTATATACCATTAAGTAAAGTGGACTCTTAGTATGGTACTGTAAGATTAGCCCTGGTCTGCGAACCACAAGGTTAGCAGTTCAAATCCACAGAAACCCTATACAGGGCCATTATGAGTCAGAATTGACTCAATGACGACAACAACAACAACAACTGAGTGAAAGAATTCATTATAACAATTTTGTTATTAAGCACTGTTGAGTTGGTTCCAACCCATAGCGACTCTGTATAGGGTTTCCGAGGAGTGGCTGGTGAACTTGAACCTCAGACCTTGCGTTTCACACTAACTTTGTATTCCAGTGCATTAGCCCACAGCGCCACACCAGGTCTTTTCATCTATGGTGGTGGTGGGTTACCCTGAAATTTCAAAATTAATTTCTTCCTTCCATTGTACGGCTCTGTATTTGTGGTACCAAATGTTATATCTGGACTGAGTATCTAATTTCCTGATTCTTTTCCTCCTATTTTCTATAACCATTCTTTTGATTTCATCTTAGACTTGATCACTTGATTTCATTTTTTCATTGTTTTCCATTTGCTTCTTTAATGACAACCAGAAGTTAAATAATTGGCAATCCAGTTCTAGTGGTAATGATAACCAAAAGTTAAATAATTAAGAGTCTGGTTCTAATAGTAACATAATCCACTGTAGTTACTAGGTAAGAAAAAAATAGTTACATTTGAAACATGGCAGTTTCTATCTTTATAAGAAAATCTGTGATTGGGTTGGCAAAGTATAGAACTTTGAGCTTGAATAATGCTGATGTTTAGGTGTGTGGCTGTGCTCCTTTTAGTAAAGCACTGGAAGTTCTTGCTAACTTATAATAGTAGGTGATAGAACAAACCAGTTGTTGACTATTTCATTTTTTTTATAGGCTGAGATATTTGGCAAAGTTCTTCAAAGTGATGAATATGAAGAAGTTGAAGACAAGACAGTAATGGCTATGGGAATTTTACATACCATTGATACTATCTTGACGGTTGTAGAAGATCATAAAGAGGTGGAATTTCTTTGTTTATATCTTATGTCATTATAGTAACATTAACTGAAATTTATATAATAGGGATGGATTTTAAAATCTTGAGTGTTAAATTATTATTTACTCATGTTGTTAGGTTTTAAACTTGTACTCAAGTTTTAAAGGTATAATATTTGCCCTAATCAGTTTAATATATATGTGATCTTAAAGTGTATATAAGGGTCAAAAACTATAGCTTTAAATCATAAAAACCTGTATTAAGCAAAACAATCAAAATGTGAAGTGACTTTTTCTTGATATTGCCGTCTTCTAAGTCTATACACTCTGAAGGTGGTGTTTACATATCTATAGCTCTGTATCATAATTCTATGCTCTTTTCCAACCATTTTAATAGATAGCATATGATCAAAAACCAATGGTAATAAAGGATGAAGTCAAAGCTGCACTGACGACACTGGTGAAAAGACTCCAGGAATTGATGGACTACCAATTGAAATGTTCCTACAAACTAATACTGCACCAGAGATGCTCATTCATCTATGCCAAGAAATTTGAAAGATAGCTACCTGGTCAACTAATTGGAAGAGATCCATATTTGTACCTATTTCAAAGAAAGATGATGCAGTGGAATGTGGAAATCACTGAACTATGTCAGTAATATAACATGCAAGTAAAATTTTGCTAAAGAGAATTCAAAAGCACCTGCAGTAGCACATTGAGAGAATTGTTAAGTGCTATCTGAGGTGCAGCTGATGAGTTTGCACGGCCAGAAATTGAAGCAGTATTCAGAAGTGGATGTGGAGCAAGGGATATCATTGCTGATGTTAAGTGGATCTTGGCTGAAAGCAGAGAATACCAGAAAGTTGCTTACTTGTACTTTATTGGCTAAGCAAAGGCATTCAATTGACTGTGTGGATAATAACTTTATGAAGAATGGGAATGTCAGAACACTTAATTGTGCTCATGAGAAACCTGTACACCTACCTAGACCAAGAGGCAGTTGTTCAGACAGAACATGGGAATACTAAATGGTTTAAAAATCAGGAAAGGTGTGTGGCAGGGTTCTGTCCTTTCAGCATACTTATTCAGTCTGAATGCTGAGCAAAAATACGAGAAACTGGTTTATATAGAGAAGACCATGGCATCAGGTTTGGAGGAAGACTCATTAACAACTTGAAATATTCAGATGACGCAACCCTGCTTGCTGAATGCATAGAGGATTTGAAGTTATGAAGATCAAAGCCTATACCCTTTAGTGTAGATTGTACTTCAGTGTACAATAAATCGTTGTAAGGAAAACAAAAATAATCCTCACATCTGGACCAATAAAATCATGATAAATGGAGAAAAGATTGACAATATCAAATACTTTATTTTGCTTGAATTCATAATCAATAGTCATCAAGGCAGACAAAATCAAACAACATATTGCACTGAGCAGATCTGCAAAGATGTCAGTTTGAAAACTAACGTATGCCTGGCAAGCCATGGTGTCCCAGTTACTTCATATGCATGTGGACATTGGACAATGAGTAAGATAATACACAGAAGAATTTTCTGAATTTCCTGGATTTTCTTACATGCTTATTTTATGAATTTTGAAATTAACTTGTCAAATTCCTTCCCCTAAAAACCTTGCTGGTATTTTTATTGGGATAGTGTTAATATATATATTTAAGAAATAATGATATTTTGAATTAAGTATTTAAAATTTATCTTTAGGTTACTCAACAGTTAGAGAATATCTGCCTACGGATCATTGACCTTGTTTTACATAAACATATAATTGGTAAGTTTAAAAGTTGAGTAAAAAGGTAAATCGAGAGTTTGCTTTTAATTTAATAAACTTACAGTACAATTTTTAGCTCACAGTAAACAAAATGTACAGCTTAGAGAAAGAGAAACTGGCCTATCTTCAGTTTTTGAATATACAGTTGACCCTAGAATGATGCTGGGGCTAGGGGTCCCAATCCCTCTGCACAGCCAGAAATTCTATGTATAAATTTTGACACCTCAAAAACTTAACTACCAAGAAGCTGCCTGTTGACCAGAAACCTTATGATGACATAGTTGACTTACACATATTTTGTATTTTATATGTATTATATACTGCATCCACATAACAGCTGCCTTTTCAATATCAGCTAAGAAAGTATTTCGCAGAATTTTTTGTGCCTGCTGGTGTAGCTGTAGCAGCAGCTTCATAAATTTCCTTTACTGTGTTTTAATGGTCCTTAACTGGATTCATTTATCTTGAAATCATGGTGGGTAACAAAACTGTAGACCTGAATCTACAGTATTATGCAATTTGACTTTTTCTTGTAATATCATGACTTCTTGGCAGCACATTTAGCATCACTTCGTATAGGTCCTATGGTGTTATTTACGGTTTATGGTAATTGCACTAAACAGGATGAAAAATACACAAGAACCACGAGATCCCTTTTTACTGTGTTACACAATTTACTGGAAAGATGACTCACTCACTCAGAAATGATTAGCCTTACGTAGTGTTTTCAAATAAATCTGCATATAAGTTTGTTGTTGTTAAGTGCCGTCGAGTCGGTTCCGACCCACAGCGACCCTGTATAGGGTTTCCGAGGAGCAGCTGGTGAGCCTGAACCGCCGACATTGCTGTTCAAATGGCTCTGCAGTCTGACACATTAACCCGCAGTGCCACACCAGGACTCCTGCACAATTCAAACCCACATTGTTTTCACGGTCAATTGTACTTTCTAATGTTGAGTATCTATATTTTTATTTAAACACATAATGCTTCCAACTAGGAAATTTTGGTCTTGGAATTTTTAAAGGATAGACAGTTTTAAATTTTAGGTTTTGATAAATGAAGAACTGATAAGGTAACGAAGTTCAGATAAGGTTTTTTTAATCTGGAATTGAAAAATAGGAAGTGATAGTTGTATTTCATGTCAGAAGTATGAACTAAGTATTATCCACTTGTCTACTACTATGCCTCATTTCTAAATAGAATCAGTAACTAGTGCTATACACTGAGGTGAACTTTGTAGGGGAGGCTTCTTTTCCATAGTATCCATCAGCATTTCATATGGGCATGAAAGAGATGCATACTGTATGTACAGGGAAATTGATGCAAAATAAGTATGCTGCTACTTGAGAGCAGTTGCCTACAAACTTTTTATTGTTTATCCCTCTAATAAAAAATTGGGCATGTATTTCTAATTGTGAAATATATATATAAATGTGTATTTTTGTTGTAAGTATGTAAGAGGAATATGCATACATATGCTTTAATCTTTCTCTGTGGAGTCTTTGTTTAACTTACTATTTTGCAGCATTCTAACTAGAGTTTTTTCTTCTTCCTAGAATTTTATGAAGAAATTCTTTCACTGGCATATAGTTTAACTTGTCATAGTATTTCTCCTCAAATGTGGCAACTTCTAGGTATATTATATGAAGTTTTTCAGCAGGATTGTTTTGAATATTTTACAGGTATAGTTTTTAGCATATTTTTGCCTTTGTATGTCTAGATACAATGAGAGTGAGTCAAAAATTTTCCGCACTCTGGCTGTAGTATTTATTTTAATCTTTTTTTAGAAAAGACAAATACATCATTTCTTGATATAATCTCCTTGATTTTCAATACACTCTGCCTGTCCATCTCTCAACAAGCTTTCATATTCCCTTATTAAAAAATGTTTTTGGTTGGGCTGTGAGCCACAAATGCACCACAGTTTTCACTTCTTCATCAGAGGTAAATGTTGGTCCTTGAAGGGCTGCTTTCATGGGATCAAACAGGTGAAAGTCCAATGGAACAAGATCAGGATTATAGGGAGGATGCTTTAACACCTCAAAATGATGTTTTGCAGTGTGTCAACAGTGTGGGCAGAAGTATGAAGACGTGTATTATGCAAGATCACAGTGTCCTTGGATAATAGTCCTCTACTTTTAATCCAAAGTTTAGGCTTCAGCTTTCCAGTGAGCATCACATTATAATGAGCACTGTTGATAGTTGAACCTTTTTCTTAATAGTGTCCCTATACTGGTCCTTGAGAATCCCAGAAAACTGTAAGCATCAATTTCCCAGCAGGTTGTTGAACTTTTTCTTGGTCAGTGATTGAGGGCGTTCCCATTCTGTACTCTACCATTTACTCTCAGGCGTGTAGTGATGAATCTATATCTCATCACCAGAAATGACTTTCTTACAGAAATATTTACCGTCCTTTGAATATCGGTCCAAATTATGTTTGCAGATGTCTAAATGCTTCTGTTTATGCTCTTCTATGAGTTGTTTGAGTAGCCATCTCACAAACTTTTCTAAACCCAAGTCTGTCGTGGATTATTTCATAGGCAGAGACGTAGCTGATTTGCAAATGACTTACCCCATGACACACTGTCACTTATCTATTCGACAGAATCATGTCATGTGCATGTTCAATGTTGTCATCAGCCGTGGATATGGAGAAGTGTTTTAATATAACCAGGCTGCGGATAATTTTTGACTCAACCTTGTATTTCCTGTGACACCTAAAATAAAGACATGTAATTTTAGTACTAATGAGAAAATGATTGTCCTTCTTTGTCTGTTAAATAAATGGTGGGGCAAATGTGGCCCTCGGAATGTAGATATTGTTGTTTGTAACCATAGTATATATATATTCATATATTAATTCAGTAAATAATTTTTGAACACTTACTGCGTCTAGGTACTAATCTAAGCTCTACAATACAGAAGTGAACAAAATAGATATCTCTTGCCCTTTCCAAGCTTTTATTATTTATATGGAGGAAGGAGGAAAGGTGGGGAAACACTCAGACAAGCAATTAAGAAAATACTCAGTGAAGGCACTTCCCCAGGGTTATGAAGGACATACATTCCTGCATTCCTGTGTCTAGGAAGCTGTAACTAAGTCACAACAGGTGTTTAATGTATAAAGCCTTTTCAGTGATTTACAAATTGTGTGTGCAGCAAGTGAAGGTGACTGTGATGAAGATTTTGTCGTGAGTAGGGGCTCAGTTGTTTCAAAGTGAGGGCAGATTTACATAATAAGGGCGAGTAGGAGTTGCCAAAAAATTGGGTATTTGTAACACAGGTATTGCCTGTACATCCGATGGCATTGAATGCTATGGAAAAGAAGGAAAATCTAGAGTAATTACTAGAACAAATGGTGAGCCTTTTAATTTTTTGAGTCACATTTTTCTCATCTGTCAGTAACGTGGATCCATCACATTTATATCCAGTATTTTGTGTTTGCGAGATAGTAGAAGTGTGGTTTCAGTGGAAATGATTTGTTTCTACTCTTGTTACTCATTTCTCATTGGGATTTTAAATTTCTTTTTCTAGATATGATGCCTCTCCTGCATAACTATGTGACAATAGATACAAATACTTTACTATCAAATTCGAGGCATTTAGAGATACTGTTTACAATGTGTAGAAAGGTAAGCATGTCCCAGTCAGTTCTTTGTGGTTTTTACTATTTGAATGCTTGTACTTGAGGAAGCTGTTCGGATTTCAGTATTGAGTTCTGTATTACCTAGTTCTGTATAACATAGCTATCATTTTGTAATTCAAAAATTGCAGTTATAATCTGGAAATTTCATGTTATGTATTGTGCCTAAGATTGTTCACCACTTTTATAGCTGTTTATTTAATTAGCTGTTTAATAACTTTTAGGGTAAATATGTGTGTGTTTGTTTTTTATTTAGAAAATAAAGATGTACTATTTAATTAAAGGAGGAGCTCTGGTAGCGTAGTGGTTACGAATCGGGCTGTGAACATTAAGGTCAGTGGTTCGAAACTACCAGCTGCTCCGCGGGAGAAAGATGAGGCTTTCTACTCCCGTAAAGATTTACACCCTCGAAAACCCTGTACAGGGTCGCTATGGGTCGGAACCGACTCGACGGCACTTAACAACAACAACAACAAATTTAATTAAAGAAAAGTGTTAGATAAATTAACCAGTCACATTGTATAGTGGTTACGAATCGGGCTGCTAACCTCAAGGTCAGCAGTTCAAAACTATCAGCTGTTCTGCAGGAAAAAAAATGAGGCTTTCTGCTCCCATAAAGATTTACAGCCTCGGAAACCCTGTCCAGGGTCACTATAAGTTAGAACTGACTCCACGGCACACCACCATCATGTAGTTTGGAGTCCTGATGTGGTGTATAGGATAAGCACTGGACTGCTAACCACAAGGTTGGCAGTTCAAACCCACCAGCTGCTCATTGGAAACACTCTACAGAGTCACTGTGAATCAGAACGGACTGGATGGCACTTAACAACTACAACATTAGTTTGTAGATCTGTGAAGGAATGACATTGATTTTTTTAAATTGTATGTATATATTAGAAATTAATTTTTGTTGTGAAGTGCCATGGAGTCAGTTCCAACTTATTGTGACTCCTGTATAGGGTTTTTGAGGAGAAGCTGGTGGGTTTGAACTACAGCCTCACTGTTAGCGGTCCTGTGCTTATCTTACAGCACCACACCAGGACTCCATTAGAAGGCAGTGTTGTTAACGTGCCTTTGAGTTGGTTCAGACTCATAGCAGCAACACTTTGTAGTGTTTCCAAGGAACAGCTGGTGGATTTGAGCCATAGATGTAGGTAAATTTGAATATAAACAACATTTGACAAAAAATTTAATAATTGGGAAAAAAGCATCATTCGTTTCAATATCAAATAATGTATAGTCCGTGTAATGACTCCTTTTATATTTATTATATTTATACATAAACATGATTGTCTACTCATGGAATCATTGTTTAATTAGTGAATAATATCTTCTTCTCTTTTAGATGTATGTATGTATATGCATAAACATAAAACTACATCAGGAATGTTTTAGTATATTGCTTAACACAGGTAGGCAGATTTTAGAAATCTCAAGTAGCCAGAAACCAAGAAGTTTTACCCCCACGAAGAGCTGGATGTGAAATAGTGTATAGGTACTACATTATGGTTCCAAATCATCCTCTTATTCAGCTGGTTCAATGATTCATTTCAGTGGCTACACAGAGTCAGACACTATATTCAGAGTTAAGGGGTTTATTAGTGAACTTAACAGGTTACAGTTAGGGATCAGAAATGCTCAAGGCACAGTTGTTGCAGTCAGCTGCTGATACATGCCCAAAGGACACACCACTCTACCATAAGCCTCAGGCTGAAGGCACTCGGCTCTAGTAGCTTCTAGGGTCAGCAAACCTAGCTCCCCCACCTAAATGTCTGGAGATGCCCGACTGTACAAGAAAGCTCTTGCCCAAAGTCACTCAGCTTTACTTGCTCTGTGGATTGGGAAGCCCACTGCTCTCTCTGCCTTGTGTTCTGGTTCTTGGTTCTGTGGTGGATTGGGAAGCCCACTGCTCTCTCTGCCTTGTGTTCTGGTTCTTGGTTCTGTGGTGGATTGGGAAGCCCACTGATCTCTCTGCCTTGTGTTCTGGTTCTTGGTTCTGTGGCAGCAGCAGCTGCTCTTCCTCTGATGTCACAGCTTTTTTGTCCCTGGGTTGAGGAGGTTCAATGCACAGAGATCTCAAGGTCCAAAGGATGCACTCCACTCCTGGATCTCCTGCTTTGTTGTTAGTGAAGTTCCCTCCTGCTTCAGAGATGGTTCATTTTATGCTAGAGTTTCTAGTTTTTACAATTACATTGAACTTTGCTAACAGCCACAGCTGAATCATATTACCTTATCGGCGTCTTCTCTCACCATCACTTATCCAGACTCAACAGGCCAGAAATGTTGTTTTGTGGGAGTTATGTAATGTGGCTAGAAAAGACGTTAGTTCACTACACCACAATAATCCATTTTCCTTACTTGAATAGAAGTAGACTGGGATCTGTTAAGAGTTCTGAACCAATGATCTGTAAATTTGGTTTTGGTCCCAGTTCAGTTAAGATTTTGGAAACTCCATAAATGTCTGTAACAAGTTAACTGAGGGGACTGAATAGTGATTTGTTTTTAATGATCTGTTTACTTTTTAAAAACAACAGCATTTTATTGCAATTTGAGTGAAAAGTTTATAGCACAACAGTTTTCCCTTCAACAATTCATATACATTTGTTTTGTGCCCTTGGTTACAATCCCCTCAATGTGACAGCATTCTTCCTGTAGCTGAGTTTGTATGGACTGATGCTTCATGGAGACTTAGTTGGCTCCGTGTAATGTTGCTGAGCTGAATTGTTGTAATTACTGCAGGTACTGTGTGGAGATGCAGGAGAAGATGCAGAATGTCACGCAGCCAAACTTCTCGAAGTCATCATCCTTCAGTGCAGAGGAAGGGGAATTGACCAGGTAGGTAGTAAATGTCTGGAAAGTGTCTTATGTGTACATATGCACATATTTTAAATGTACATGCCTGATTGGCATTTTGTGTTATGATAGAAAATTATAAAGATAGTCTATAACTTATGCCTGCTGGTACGACTCCTATTTAAATGATAAGCAAAAACACCCTGCAATTTGGAAGTTTTACCTTGCCTTTTTGCTGAAAAAGGGATACACAAAAGAATGTAATACTAATTTTATAAATAATAATTTAAGCCGTTATCAATAAAAATAATGGAGATAAATGTGTATACACTCTACTCAGATTCCCAGAAAAGTGTATGTCCACTTTATTTTTGTGTATGCTATTTAAATTCTCTCTTTTCTAATCAGAAACTAAGATATTGTACAAAAAAAGGAAAAATTAAGAAGAAATAGTTCTTTTGACAAGTACAAAAGTATTACAAATTTTTAATACGGTTAATTCATTTTTTTTTTTACTATGAAGCTGTAGGATAATCACTGGACAAGGTTGGTGGTTCAAACCCACCAGTTGCTCCTTGGAATCCCTATACAGGGTCGTTATGAGTTGGAACTGACTAGTTGACACAAACAACAAAAAACTGGTCTTTTTATTGTTGTGTTGTAGTTGTTCTCTATATATTCTAGATTCAAGTCCCTTACTAGAGATGTGCAGAAACGTTCTTGTAGTCAGTGGGTTGCTTCTTTTAAAAAATTTAATATAAAGTACTGATTTTATTTAGCTTTATTAGTTTTAAAACTTCTAGGTCTTTTTGCTATTCTAATGGTTTTGCATGAATTGGCAGAGGTGCTGATTGATAAAAACAAAAACTTTTAAAACCTTGTAAAAGGAGTGTTTCAAACTGCTGTAGGTTTTCCTGTGGTTTAATTAATCCGCAGCTAATTATTTGACCATGGTTGTTATTAAGTGCCATCAAGTCGGTTCTGACTCATAGCAACCCTGTATAGGGTTTCCAAGGAACAGCTGGTGGGTTTGAATGGCGATCTTGCGGTCCAGTGCCTTATCCTGTAGTGCCACACCAGGTAGTGATTCTTTATGTAGCTTATAGCCGATATATGCTATGCTATAAAATGAGATGGATTGGCCAACTGGCAGCATCGATGGACTCAAGCGTGACAACAGTGGTGAGGTTGGCCCAGGATCAGGAAGTATTTCATTCTGCTGTGTATAAGGTCACTATGGGTCAGTACTGACTCGATGGCACCTAACAACAATAACAACAACAACATAAAATGAGAACACAAATACTCTATCAGGATATAAGAAATTAATATAGAGTTTATCAAATTGGTCATCTCTTCTTTGTAAAGTCCTAGTCTTAAAAGTATTAACATTTACTCAGGTGTTCTTGATATAATATATTATTCTAAACAAGGTTAGTATTCTGAACTTAATGAATTTATATTTGGGCATATTGGAGAAAATATTTCAAATTTAACTTGAATTTCTCCACTAAACCTTGATTTTAAGAGTTTAATTTAAAAATGAGCTAAATAAAAACCTCAGAATTCTATTTTGTACAAATAATTAGGGTCAGCGAAAAGGAGGAAGACCCCAGCGAGATGGATTGGCAAAGTGGTAGCATCAGTGGGCTCAAGTGTGGCAACAATTGTGAGGTTGGCCCAGGACCGGGCAGTGTTTCGTTCTGTTGTGCATAGGGTTGCTATGAGTCGGTACCAACTTGATGGCACCTAATGACAACAACATCCCGTTTAGCTAAGGAGCTCTGGTAGCGTAGTGGTTACGAATTGAGCTGCTAATCTTACGGTCAGCAGTTAGAAACTACCAGCTGTTCCATGGGAGAAAGATGAGGCTTTCTGCTCTTGTAAAGATTTACAGCCTCAGAAACCCTATGCAAGGTTACTATGAGTTGGAACCGACTCCATGGCACATAACAACCAACAACCAATGCCTTTTAGCTAATCAGGAAGTATTTCTAATAAAACCAGTTAATATTGCAATTTAGATTTGGCATCATATGACTTGGTGTTAATGTGTTGAGTGCCGTTGTTTTGTGAGTCTTTTTTATTTTCTTATATCAGTGGGAAATTTCTTTCTTGAAATTCTGATCACATGTTTATTCTCCATTTCCTTAATTTATGTTTAATTTGATTTGACCAAGAAAACCTACCCTAATATTTTACTTTAAATGTGGAATTGGCAGAGTCTACATTTAGAGTGTAGATGCTTATAGGACAATTTTCAACTAACTCTGATTTGCACTTGCAAAAGGAGAGTTGCTGGCACTGTTCCATAGGATTTTTTCTTTTTTTTTAAATCTCTGTTTTTTATGAGAATATAAATTTGTTTAGTAACTATAAAAACTATTTAAATTAATAGACCTTTTATAAACTTCATTAAAACTAACTGCTAACACTCTGCCAACATTTGGCCTTCCATAAAAGTCATTTTGTTGTGTTGTGTGGTTGCCTCGTTTTTTCTTCCTTCAGTGCATTCCGCTCTTTGTTCAACTTGTTTTGGAGAGATTAACCCGAGGGGTCAAAACTAGTGAGCTCCGGACTATGTGTCTTCAGGTAGCAATTGCTGCCTTATACTACAATCCTGATTTGCTGCTACATACACTAGAGCGAATTCAATTACCTCACAACCCTGGACCTATAACTGTACAGTTTATAAATCAGTGGATGAATGACACAGATTGTTTTCTTGGGTAAGTGTCTTAGATTTTATTCTGTATTTCTGTTTCTGGAAAGTAGACTTTTTAATATCTACATATACTAACAGTCACAAAAAGATAGTTTTCAAAACGTAAGCACTATATTTAGTGTATTTTAGCATAGTATTTTCTTTTTTAGAGTATTATGAATGTATTTCAACAATATAATGCTGTGGAAAGAATGCAGGCCCTGAAAACTAAGCAGCTCTTTCAGCACGTGTTTTTGTCTCATGTGAATCATTATGTCTTTAGGCAATAAGAATTAGTACCCATAGGTTTTCAAGGCTACTAACTATCTGTGGGTAAAAATATTCCAAGTGCTATCAGGTTTCTTAGGAAGGCACCAACCAACCTAACAAAGTGAGGAAACAGCCTAGGATGTTGACTCTTTGCCAGAGCTCTAGGGAGCCTGTTCTCAAATGTGAGGACAATTGTTAGTGTTAGCCAAAGGACTGGCCTGGTAGGGGAGTTTGTCTTATTATGTGAGGCACTTTCCCAGCTTTCTAACATCAGAAAAGTCAGATCCCAAGTAGTAGTTAGGTACCCATCTCAAGTCACACAATACAGGGCGGGGGTGGGGGTGGTACTTCAAAAAGTTCATGGAAACATTCTTATTATCTTTCAAGGCCATTTTTCTATGACCTTTTGAAGCCCCTGCGTATCAGTGACTGTGTTATGCTAGAATTTTAACTAGATTGACAACTACTTCAATTAAAGCACTGGGAACACCTGGTGTTTTTTGAAGTTTTGTAAGGCATCATTTAGAAACATTTGTCAAGGGGAAGAGAAGCAGGACACATTGCTGTGTGGCTGAGAGGCGATGGAGGCCTGGATCTGGATGGTAGACTTGGAATGGGGAGAGGGGCAAACTTCCACGCTGCTATGTGTGTTCCGATTTTTCTACTCGTAAGAGATTAGAATTTGTCCCTGGTTGAGATTTCGTTTTAAAGCCATGAAGGAAAGAACATATTTTTAAAATGTCCTAAAGTTGTCTCTGACAAAGGCTTAGGGAGTAGAGAATTGGTCATTCACGGTTGTGTAATTGATGAGTTTATATGTCTTTATTGACATCTATATGCAATTTTCAGATAGAAATGATATCTCTTTTAGCTATTGCATAGATGTCATGGATTGAATTACATCCTAAACTGCAACATTGTGTCAACTTGGCAGGGTCATGATGTTCAGTGGTTTTACAGTTGTAATGTGCATGATGTAATGTGGCGGTTATGTGATGATTCTCCATGATGTGATAAACCAATAAGAGGATTAAGAGTGGGCTGCAATACCCTTAATCCCCTCACAACCCTGATACAATAAGAGCGAGTTTCCCAGAGGTGTGGTCTGCAACATCTTTTATCTTACAAAGATTTAAAGGAGAAAGAAGTGAGCGGAGAAGAGGGACCTACTACCAAGATAGAAGAGTCAGGAGTATTTCTGTTTTAGCAGTATTAGGTAATGAAGACAATGGACTTGGCATCCCCCGTGTACTTCCTTGGACACTTTAGAGTCTTAGTAGTCAAGTTAACTGCTGTGATCCAGTGACGCCTAGTACACACTTCTAGTTATGGGCTATATATATGCATGAGAAAGGCCTCTGATCATGTACCATTCCAGTCCTAGCATGCTACTTTAAGATTACTAACTTAAATGAATTGAGCAATGCAATTAATGAAGGATAACAGAAGTTTACAATATATTCATCACATGGTTTGTTATTATTCCCATTTTACTAATGAATTTTTTCATGGCTTACAATTTTAAAGTGTGGCACTGTGGGTTAATGTGCCATTTGAACTGCAAGGTTGGCGGTTCGAGCTCACAGCTGCTCCTCAGAAACCCTATACAGGGCTGCTATGGCTTGGAATCGACTAGACGACACTTAACAACAACAACAATTTTAAGAGTGTTACACTAATATATTGTTGTTAAGTACAGTTGAGTCAGTTCCAACTAACAGCAACCCTGTTAAAAGGTTTCCAAGGAGCAGCTGGTATGTTTGAACCGCCGACCTTATGATTAGCGGTCCAGTGAAATCCTATATAGGGTTGCTGTGAGTCAGAATTGACGGAAAGGCACTTAACAGCAACTTACCGTACCACGCCACACCAGGACTCCTATACCAATATCTTGTTGTTGCTGTTGTTAAGTGCTGTCCAGTCAGTTCTGCTGCTTAGTGATCCTGTGGAAGGTTACTGAGGAGCAGCTGATGGATTTGAACCACCAACCTTGTGGTTAGCAGTCCAGTGCTTACCCTGTAGCACTATACCAAGACTCCATACCAATATTGTTGTTGTTGTTAAGTCCCACTGAGTTGGTTCTGACCCATAGCAACCTTTATAGAGTTTCCGATGAGTGGCTGGTGAGTTTAAACCACTGACCTTGCGGTTCAAACTGACCTTGCAGTTGAGTGCTTATCCCACGCTGTCACACCAGGACTCTCCAGTCTACTATTATTGTTGTTAGGTGTCAGGTCAGATTTCATATAGTGAAAAATGGGGAACTATATCTGTAATTTCAATGAATGAATGTTGGAGAATATCTTCCAGATTTGTCTTTTATTGCATTTCTAATGTCCACATTTCCCCCTTGGAAATCTGCAGGCATCATGACCGGAAGATGTGTGTAATAGGACTAAGTATCCTTTTACAACTGCAAAATCGCCCTCCTGCAGTGGATGCTGTGGTGGCACAGATTGTTCCCTCAATTCTTTTCCTCTTCCTTGGCCTAAAGCAGGTCTGTGCTTCTAGACAATTGCTAGACCGGGAAGATCACTCAAAAGCAGAGAAAGCTGATATAGAAGAAAATGGTAAAGTCTTCTAATTGCAATGAAAGCTAGGGTTGATTTTGATATGACCTTTTTTTTTTTTTTTTTTAAATGTTAAGTCTATTTGGAAATATTAAGCAGATTTTCATTTTTATGCTCTTTGGTTTGCTGCAAATTCCATTTGTGTGGCTTGCTATTAGTTATGTCATGTCAAGTTATACTCCCAGTGCGTTTTTATTGAGCTAATAGATGCTGTAATAGAATCAAATGACTCTGACAGGGAGTTAAGCACTCATGTTTTCTTTTCTTGTTTATCTGTACTAACAGCCTCAGAGAAGGCCGTAGTCATCTGTTAATGAGCCATTAGAGTCAGAGCAGAGGTGTCAGTACAGCAGATGAAGAGAGACTGCCTGAGTTAAAAAAAAATTTTTTTTTTAGGTGACTTACTAGCAAAACTTATCATTCAGAGACAGATTTATGTTTCAAGTTTATGAGCTTAGGATAAAGTGCATAAATGAAGGTTGATGTGCTTAAATCAAGAAAAAAACCAAGATTTTAGTCAGACCTTTATTTTGCATAATTATAAGAGCAAAACTTCTTGCTAGGGCCCAAGAGTAGCGTTATTGCATTATTCTACTCCAAAGGGAGTTTTTCCTATTCTATTTCAAAATACTTTTTAACTGAAAAAAAAAAAAAGACCTCTTATTGGAAAACACTAAGTTTTGATGCAAAATTCTACAATATTAGCATATATAAGTTTAAACCATTTGGCATCTGACTGGCATCATTTCCAGGTTGTTTATATATAAACAACTGTAAACTCCTCTCCCTGACCCCCCCAAAACAAAGCACAACTTCTTGTTTGCTTCTTAAATTCTATCTAAATCTTGTTCAGAACTTCTTCATTACTACAATGCAGTTTATTGTGAATTTTTTTTCATTTGGTATATGCTAATGATAAGATATGGAGTCCTGGTGTGGCGCTGTGGGTTAATGCGTCAGACTGCAAAGCCGTTTGAACTGCAAGGTTGGTGGTTCAAGCTCACCAGTTGCTCCTTGGAAACCCTATACAGGGTCACTATGGGTCGGAACTGACTCCACGGCACTTAACAACAACAACTGTGATAAGATATAGAATTATTTCTTCAAGATGTTACCATGTTTTCTCTATCTGATGTCTTATTAGATTTAAAAATCATAGCTTGCAGTGAATATTTCTAGTAATACTGTAAATGTTATTAACTAGCAAAAGGTTTTTCTAAAATCATTTTTTTAATTATATCATTGTCATCTCCCCACCCCCCACCCCCTTGTATTTGGTCTAAACAATGGTTTCTTCTTGCCTTTATTCCTAAAACAACCTTGCTTCTTCACTCAAGTGCCTCCATATGATATACTTCATAGAAGTAGTTTAGCTCGATATTGCTTGGTTTGGGATCACACTAGGTTTTTCTTATTATGTTGATTTTGTTATGCATTTACTGCCTTCTGTTTAGTCTAATACTGATCTAACTGCTTGGAACAGACTGGCACTGAAAATAGAAATGGAATCCAGCTTTTAACTTTTCAACTGACATGTTGTAACTACTTTGCATTTTATTATTTTTACTATTATAAGCAGAAATCATCTCCTCCTTTAGACATTTCTGAGCAGTTCAGAATAAACTTGTTAAAAGACCTTCAGTTTTAAGGGGAAGTCATCATTATTTACAACACAGACACTGAAAACTGCCCAATAATTTAATATCTTCATTTTCATTTAAAAAAAAGTTAATTATTTGTGATTAAAAAAAATTATTGTATTAATAAATATGAGGCAGTCATTGAATCGTTAAGTCCAGCTGGGCCATAGGTTTAAGACTAGTTGGAAATTATTTTCACTGAGGAGAGTAAAGTTATTCTTAATATAGCAAATTACAGGAAAGATAAAGAATATTGTTAAAATGTTATATAAAACTATGTGGTAATTTTTCATTTCTACAGTGTTATTTTATGATTTTTGTTTTCTTCATGGAATTTTACCCCCTGTGTCTTAATTTATTTTTAATAATTCACAGAGGAAATTTCAAGTGATGAAGAGGAGACAAATGTAACTGCTCAAGCGATGCAGTCAAATAATGGAAGAGATGAAGATGAGGAGGAAGATGATGATGACTGGGATGAAGAAGTGTTGGAAGAAACAGCCCTTGAGGGATTCAGCACTCCTCTTGACCTCGACAATAGTGTGGATGAATACCAATTTTTTACACAAGCTCTGCTAAGTATGTCTTTATTTCCTAAATCCTCAGATTTTTTTTTTTTTTTTTTAAATGATTTCTTCATTTCATGGTATTAGAAGTTATTTTTGGATCTGCCCCAAATTGATCTAGACTATATTTTGTTTTTTATTACAGAAGTTTCCAAACATCATATACAAAATAGGCACCCATTCAGACATAAACCAACCCCAGCAGTCCTCACTGTAGTAAAATGGCAGGGTGATCCTAAGACGTATGCTCACAAAATAACTTTAGTTGAGTGCATCTGCATCTATTCCTCAGTAAGCCACTTTACAGAAAAAAAATACAGTCTCTTAGGCATTTGTTGTTTAAAAACTGTGACCAGTTCACTCCCTCTAGGGAATGAACTGAAGTTCAGCTGCCGTAAGAGAGTGGCTTTTTTACTACAGAAGACATTATGTTAGTGCAGTTGGGGGTCACCGAGTAGACTAATGTATAGTGGGCGACCTCTTGTGACAGGGTTTCCTAGGCTTGAAGTTTTCATGTCTTTCTCCATGGAGCTGTTGGGTTCTACCTGCCCACCATTTGAATAGCAGCCTAGGATTCCTTAAAGACCCTTTAAATATAGTTAAAGAATTTGTTAAAAGTTGGGAGAAAATATTTGTCACATGTATCTCATAACCCTACCCACAATATGTAAACATCTTATACAAATGAATAAGATACAATCTAGTATGCATATAGGAATTGTGAATGGCAAATTTACAAATGAAAAACCAAAAGTCAGTGAAAACTTACTAATAATCAAAGAAACTATAATGAAAAATATCCCATTAATATAAATTATTTTATGTTTGTACCATAATTAGCCTCCTGGTGTGGCACTGTAGGATAAGTACTGGACTGCTAACCTTAAGGTTAGTGGTTCAAACCCACCACCTCCTCAAAAACTGTTTAGAGGGGTTGCTATGAGTTGGAACTGACTCAACAGCACTTAATAACAATAACCACCACAATTTATTTCACTGTTGGATTTATAAGATTTCTATTATTTGTTATTATAAGAACTATTAATGGAGTCCTGGTGTGACACTCCAGGTTAAGTACTAGATTGCTCACCACAAGGTCGGTGCTTCAAACCCATGAGCTGCTCCTTGGAAACCATATACAGGGTCACTATGAGTTGGAACCAACTTGATGGCACTTAACAACAACAATCCTTGTTTATAAAATAGTGTTACTAACAAAGCAATATCAGTATGATATATTGACATTATTTAATACTGTTATAAATACCATTGTTGTTGTTAAGTGCCGTCAAGTCAGTTCCAACCCATAGTGACCCTGTATAGTGGTTCCTAGTAGCTGCTGGTGAACTGCCGACCTTTCAGTCCAGTGAATTAACTCACAATGCCACACCAGGACTCCACAAACACCATGAATGAAGATAAAATCCCTATATGTTTTTGTTGAAATTTAGTATATTATTTTATTCTGAAAAAATAGGTACTGTGGGAGCTTCAGAAAGCTGGTGGGAAAATTCATTTATCTTTTCATTTTTTCCACAAACATTTCTTGAAGTTGGTAAATGCCAAATGTAACATAGTAACATATATACCCTGGAAGTTAAGAGTTGAGAGCGATTTTAGTGGCCTGGATGATCAGACAAAGTTAAGGAAGAAACTAGAACTTAAACTGGAGTTTGATAAACAGGCAGCATCATAGGCAGAGAGCATAGTGAAGTATATCCTCCAAACATAGGGAAAATAAAAGCATAAATTGTGGATGTGGGAATAAAGAGGGTGTGCGCTAAAGCAGTTGTTTCCAAATATGGGTGTGCATCAGAAGCACCAGTGAAGGGTGGGATTTTGGAGTATGTATTTTAAAATCCTCCTTAAATGAAACTCAGATGGCCAGCTTTGGTCAGGTGTGTGAAGGCCATTGCTTAAGAAAGAAAATGGGGCCAGATTGTAGCAGCCTTCAGTTCTAAACTGAAGTGATTTTTATTCCATTGGACAATGATTGTTGAGTGTTTTTCTGTGAGGGGATGAGCTTGTGAATGTGGTAGTTTATTTCAGGAGTTATCTTGAAGAGCTAAAGGAGACTAAAGGTGGAAGCGAAGTATTAGAATATTATTTTATTAGTTTTAAAAGTATTATGGTCCTGAAGTGGGAGCATGACATTTGATGGAAAAGAGGCATTAACATGTGCAGAGGTCATGGTCAAAGATGTCAAAGGTTTAGAGTGATTGATTTGGGAGACTGGTAGTACTAGCAGTAGAAATGGGAAGGTAAAGAGGGTTTTGGAGGTAAAATGGTAAATTTGCTTCTAGATGTGTTGAATTTGAGGTGAACTTTCCAAATGGAAAAGTCCAGTAGTTAAAGGAAAGACTGCCTAAAGGTGCAGATTTGAGTTCTTGGTATAGGAGTGATGCTGAAGATACAAATAGTATGCAAATTACAGAGGACAATGGTAACAAAAGAAACATAGGTACTTTCCAAGATTGAAATTTAGGAAGCATCCATAATAAAACCTCACAGTGAGGAGGCAAAAATCAGAGGTTTGCAATGTCCCAAACTTCTTTTGATAGCCATACAGGACCAGGCAGACCCTGTTGTGACTGTTGGATAGACACTGGACTGCTAACCACAAGGTCAGCAGTTCAAATCCACAAGCTGCTCTAGGAAACCCTATGGGGTAGTGATGTGCTGTGGAGTCGATTCCTACTCATAGCGTCCCTGTATAGGGTTTCTGAGGCTATAAATCTTTACAGGAGCAGAAAGCCTCATCTTTCCCACGCGGAATCATTGGTAGTTTCTAACTAGCTGACCTTGAGGTTAGCAGCCCAACTCATAACCACTACATTGCCAGAGCTCCTTTGGAAACCCTATACAGTGACACTATAATTTGGAACCGATTCGATGGCACACTACAGCAACAACGGGAGCAGACAGTGTTTTGTTATGTTGTGCATAGGACTGTCATGAGTTGGAACCAATTCAGTAGCACCTTTAACATCACCACATCCTCTATATGTTGGGTACTAAATGGTACTCAAAAATAATCCTTTATTTGCATAATAAGCTCTATGATCTTATCTTGTGTTTGTCTCTTTCTGAGATAATTTTATTGTACTTTGGTCATATCTTAAGTTATTCTAGAAACAATAATTGTCACTGGGCTCTCTTTTCTTTCTCTCTCTGCACCATCCCGAAACCACACAGCTGTGCAGAATCGGGATGCTGCCTGGTACCAACTGCTGGTGGCCCCGCTCAGTGAGGATCAGAGGAGAGCACTGCAGGAAGTTTACACAGTGGCGGAGCATCGGAGGACGGTGGCAGGTCAGCCTGAGTGATTTCCGGATTGGAGGTGTCAGGGTACCAATAGTCAGCCTTTTTATGAACCAGGTGGCATGAAAATAATGGTTTTTTAAATTGCTAGAGGCCAACCCTCCAAGTTAATATGGACTTGTCATTATTGTATGGTTGTTCTTCATTTTAACCATTTATAATGTCTTAACCCTGCAAAAAATCTGTGCATTAATATCTGTCAGTTAGTGGAGATCTTATTCACATTCTTACTCTATTTTGGAGCCAAAGCTAAGGGGTAGTAACGGTTGGGAAGAGTCTTGCTGAGGAGGAGTTTGTCAGCTGGCTCACCCATCTAAACATTTCAACCAAAGGCACTGTATGAATTCTTGCAAGGAGCTTGCTTCCTGGAAATGAAATGCTCCCTATTTCTGTTTGTGGGGTTTTATGTGGTGGTAATTCTTTGAGTCAGAGAAAAAATTTTATGCAGAGATTATGATCACTCCTAGGTAATCAGTGGAAAGGATTTTTATAACTATAAAATCGTGGAATAGGCATCTAGATAGTAGAACAAAGGATCTTAGATTTTTAGCCTTAAAGACAGATTTTGTATTAGACCTTCTGACATAAGAAATCTGGCAGGTCTTTTCAGCAGTAGACCTACAGACTGGGAAGTTAATGGAAACCAACTTGAAATTCGTTTTCATTTTGCTCATTTTCAACAAATAGTTTTTCCATGAGAGTAAATATAACTGCTTACTGATGAGTGTCTATTAAAGGCCCTTCAGTGTATTCAGTGTGGTAGAATAATTAATACCATGAGTCATATTCTTTCACACATATAGGAATAAAGAGCCTGGTTCCTTGGAGGTTATATCCAACTCTATGCCTTAAGTCCTGTTCCTTTCTTTTTTGGTTTTCTTTTGGAAAATGCTAGAGGCAAAGAAGAAGATTGAACAACAGGGAGGCTTCACATTTGAAAGCAAAGGAGTCCTCTCTGCATTTAACTTTGGGTCTGTGCCCAGCAACAACTGAGGGAAGAAACATCAACTGACCAAAGGTTTTTGCTACATTTTATTTCACAAAGATGGTGTGAGGTACATGGGGAGGGAATGAGGTGGGGGGTTGCCATTGGACCAGCCAACGTTGGGTATCAGGCAGCACTTGCCTCTTCCCCTTTGACCTTGGTCACCTGGAAACATATTTTAAACAGCTACTGTAATGTATGAAAGTAATGTATGAAAGTAAACAAACTCATTGAACTGAAAAGGACAAACCATATGCTCCAAAGGAAGAATGACCAAGATGGTTTCATCAGATTAGACTAAATTGCACGTCTCAGGTTTTGCCATGCAGAATCAATGGATTTATGCAGAAATAGTGCCTTCTGTTGTACATGAATTATCTGAAAATTTTTTTTGGCGTGCATTGCAATTTTTTTTCCTAAGCATAAAACATTTCTAGATATAATGTAAACCTTGGTTATATGATGCCATCTTCTGCATTTTACTGTGTGAATTCACTGTTAGGCTGTTAGCTACAAGTCACTCTGGTTTCAAAAACATCACTGCTCCCCTGATCAGTGTGCTACTGGGGGCTTCCTTCAGGGGTTGTAAAATACACACTGGCTCTCATTTTTCATGCCATGTTTAGTGGCTTTCCTAAGAAGTGTCTTATTCCCTCTTCCAATATATTTTTCAGGCCTGAGAGGGGTGATATTTTTTTTTCAGGGTCAGCAAATCTGAGTATCAGTTTCATTCATAGCTTGGTAAGTTTAGGATTCAATAGTCTTTTGGTAGCAAGTGTGGTAGGGGCTCTTTAGTAACTGGAGTGCACTGTAAGTCTGTGTACATTCTGAGCATACATTTAGTGGATAATTCACCTCCAGCACATAGAACTGCTAGGAGAAAAGTACAACATCAGCACACTTATTAGATGGGGGCTTTATTTTCAATACGTTATCATTCCAGCTGTGTTGGTCCAAAACATTTTATAACAGTATTTTTTATAGTTTGGCGGATATTTGTCAGCTGCATCTTTAGAATATGATGTAAAATGCTGTTAAGTGCTATTGAGTTGGTTCCAACTCATAGCGCTTTATAGTTTACATTATATCTAAACCCTGTTTAGTGTTTCCCAGGCTGTACATCTTTGTGGAAGCAGAAAGCCTCCTCATTTTCCTCCTGTGGAGCTACTGGTGGGCTCAAACTGCTGACCTTGTGGTTTGCAGTCCAGTGATTACCTACAGAGCCACCATGCTCCCACTTAGTAAGATAGTCTATAGAACATATTGCAGGTGAGGCTTACAGCTGTTTTCCTAAACTGGTTCAAGATTAGAACATAGATCATGATGTTTTCATTCAGTAAAATGAAAATGTGTTTTCATAATTTAACGGTTTTTCCATTTTTATGGAATGTCTGCAGCTTCATTTTCCATCAGTGACTGGAGGAATTTTCTTCAGTGCCTCATACATTGCCATCCCTTGTTAATATTAACTTTTTAGAATTTTAGGTTAAGTCATTTTTTACAGGAGTACCTGAAAAACCATGAGTTTCAGAATGAAATAATATACTTTCCTCTCTTTTCCCTTTACAAGATATTAAAGCTAAAATGTGCCAACTGGCATTTAGAAGAGAAAGATGGCATTGGGGGACACTCTTTTTTTAACTTTGAAACTCTTTTTATTCGACCTGTGTCTCATATGGTTTAATTCTGACACAAAAAAATATGCCTTCACCCAGGATTGTAAAAGGGATGTAGTTTTAAAGGATTTATTTTGTGATGTATTATCTTTTACAGTATTAAAGAGAAAGAAGTATTAATGTGCATCACCCTTTCTTATTTTTGAAGCCAGGGTAGTTGTATAATTTTGTTACCAGCAGTGCTAAACCGAATGTGATCCGGTTACCTTGGAAATGCAGGAACTTATGAATGTACTGTAAAATAAAATGCAGATTAATTCCCAGAATTCTGAACTCTTGTGTGTGAACTACTTTCTGAAATGTGGGAGTGAGTGAGACAGGTGATAGAAGCCTGTCAGTTCTGGGTTCCTGAGTCCTGATGTGGGAGGGAAGCTGACTCAGCAGCTCATCAGGAGCAGCTACACTGAGGGAGGGAGAAGGGGCCAGGGCCCGTCTCTTAAACCAGACCAAAGCTCTGAAATAGCAAAGGTCATACGACCACATCAACGCCTTGAAGGAAAGGAAAAGGTAACGGAAATGGAGCCCTTCTTGAATGGGATACCATCAAAATAGTGGACTGGCAAGATGCTGGCTGATTCTCAAAACTTAGCTCATGTGATAGTAAGTTCCCACTTCCCACCTCTAACCTATTAACCCCTAGCTGTCGAGTTGATCCCATAGGATAGGGTAGAACTACCTCATCAAGCTTCCAAGGCTGTAATCTGCCACATCTTTCTCATCAGGAGCAGCTGGTAGATTCAAACTGCTGACCTTTCTATGTTGTTGTATTCATTGCTGATCCTCTAGCACTTAGCGTAGTGCTTTACTTAAATGAAAGATCCTTAAACTGATAAAACTCCAAAGACTAGATTGAACAGTGTCATGAGACTTAAGGTATCTTGCTTGAAATGGAGTTTACTTGTCTTGTTGCAGTCAAAACTAAAGGCCAATCATTTGGTTTTTCCTTTGATCTAGTGGTAATTAAATATTTGTTCCACCATGCTTGGTTAAAGTGGAGGATCAGAGAAAAAGAGGAAGGACCCCCCCCCCCCCAACAAGATGGATTGACACAGAGGCAGCAAGAACGGGTTCGAGCATAAGACTAATTGTGAGGATGGTGCAGTGTTTTGTTCTGGTGTGTGTGGGGTTGTTGTGTGTTGGAACCGACTTGTACCTAACAACAACAACATGTATTTGGAGGAGTTAGGGAGACACTGTTTTTTCAATCAGTAAAAATTGTATACTTCTGTTTTCTAAATAAAGAAGTTATATACATTTGTTACAGTTGCCAAGCCAGATTCATTCCCAATAACCAAAACTGCAGTTTGTTTCGTAAGTTTTAGCTCCCTGTAATTGCTGAGGCCAGACAGCCCTCAGGTGAGTGGCATTTTCTCAATAAAAAAGTTAACATGGATCAGGACCAGCAAGAAGTGTTTATTTCTTTCTGAAGGTAAGTATTCTTTCCTTTGGTGAGAACAAGACCAGCTTTCATTTTAGTAAATATGAAATTGTATTTGGAGACCTTTGTAACCTAGTGAGACTTTATCACTTTTATAAGGAGCACTGCAGCTGACTGTCCCTTAATTGGACTGTGGTTGGGCAGTAAAGCCAGGGATTCTTTGAAGGTAGAAACAAGTTAAATTAGCCAATTGCTTACTTTCCAAGTGTGCCCAGACCTGACAGTCTCTCTCCTTTCAGCCTGTTCATTCTGATTTGACGCTCTGCTGAGAATGTGTATTTCTGTCCCAAATACACGGAATCAAAATCTACGATTTAACAAGATCCCCAGGTGATTCTTATGGCTGCATCACGGGCTTTTCTGGAGAAAGATGTGGCAGTCTGCTTTTGTACATAATAAGAGTCTTGGGGACCCTCTGGAACAGTTCTATCCTACCCTATAGGATTGCTGTGAATCAGAATGGACTCAACAACAGTGGGTTTGGCTTGGGTTTTGTTTGGTGGCTCAGGGGTTAAGTGCTTGGCTGCTAATTGAAAAGGTTGGCAGTTCGAACCCAGCAGCTTCTGTGCTGGAGAAAGATGAGGAAGCAGTTTGCTTCCATAAAGATTGCTACATTGCAAACCCTATGGGGCAATTCTTCCCAGTCTTACAGGGTTGGAATTGACAGTGTTGGGTTTTTGTTTTTATCCTGGATTATCCAGGTGGGCCTATATAACCACAAAAGTCCTTAAAAGTAGAGGAGGGCCGGGTGAAGACCTGGTTGGCCAGCAGTGTGGCAAGACCTGGGGACTCTTGGGCCCAGAGTCAGTGACATAGCCACAGAGGACTAGAGTGGAGAGTGAATCATCCAGCTGATAAGAAGAGAGGGCATATGCATAAGAACACCCACACTTGCAGATAATACCCACTTGTCCTGGCTTCAATGACTGGATGATCAGAGCTCAACCAGAAGTAAAAAGAAGAGGGCAAAAAAAAAAAAAAAGTATTCTCATATAATTTGATGAACTTGACCTACACCTATGGAAGCAGTAGCTCAAAAGAGGGAACAAGTCCTTACAGAAAGAATCATTCCTACACCCTCTACACACAGAGTAGACAGGGATGGGCAACTTGGACATTGGCTACCCAAAATGGGGGGTGGGGAGCTACAAAGGCAAGAAGTGACTGGCTTACAAGCTTTCAAGAGGGAACCTAGATCCAGAGGGCCTGGAGGAAGTTAGAATCTCCAGTGAGTAGTATCCAATCTGTCTAGGTGGGGCTGATGCAATGAAATGCAGATGGGTCTCTTGTGATACAATAGTGAATAATTGTTATCAGGATTGATTGTGAGGGTTGGAAATGTAAAGGTAGATGTTTTATATCAAGGAGGGGAGTGATTAACTTTTCAGTCTAGGAGCGGAGGTCCCTAGGACCATCAAGGGAGAAGAGCAGAGAGCGGGACCCTACCCAGAGAAGCAGTGATGCCTGAAATGGAGCCAGAGATGATGACGCGGAGCGATGGAGCAGCTGGAGACTTTAGATCCAGAGAGGGAGAGCGACTGTGTGCTGAAGACCTGGGGGGCATGGAGGAGGATTGCATGGAGGGGATCGTAACCATGACAATGAGATGATATACGATAGAATGAATGTAAAACTAATGTTCTCCCATGTAAACTATCACATAATTCACAATAAAACATTTAAGGACAAAAAAAAGTAGAGGAGGGAGGCAGAAAAGGTCTGAGTGATGAGATATGAAAAGGATTCAACAACCATTGCTGCCTCTAACGATGAAACGGGGACCATGAGGAACACATGTGGGTAGCTTCTTAAAGGCAAGGGAAATGCATTTTCCTTTAGAGGCCCCAGAAGGGAATATAGCCTTACCACACCTTGGTTTAATTCAACAAGACTC